TTTTGAAATCTGTGTTCTATGTACACTGGAGAATATTTTCTCTTTTTCCAAACTTCAAGAAGATGGTTGGAATAGAAAAACAGGGATTGTTTGTAGTCTGGCCATCCATAGCTTCTTAAGATGAAAGTTAAAGCAGCAGCAGCAGGGGTGGACAGAAGCCTGTCCCCCGCCACCTGTGGGCATGCTTGAGACTTGGGACAACTTTCTCAATCTCCTTCCACTGGGGCTCAGTAATGCATAACTCTATGGAATTTATACACCCTCCATCGGCCTCTCCATCAGCAAATGTATTTGGTGCAAGCTGGAGAGTCCAGGGTTTATGCTGGGCACTCATACTCCAGCTCTACGGGGTAATTCTCCCATGACCTCTGTCTCTACCAGCCAGGCTGCTCCCACTGAAGATGCTGCTTTATCTACATCTCACTACCTGGGAAGCCATATCAAGACTTCTTCACCATTTTCTTCAACCCAGTGATGCATGGGATGGATGGAAAGGGCTCCAGATCCACTCTTCATTCCTCCATTTCTCTCCACTGAGGCAGACCTCACACCTCTACCTGTTCTTTTCCAATTCCTTGGATTTCCTAGATCAGATAATTTCATGAATGTTGCCAAAAGGGAGAAGTCCTTTCTTGGCCTGTTTTGGTTTTGTTTTTTCCTATCTCTCACCTGAAGATGAGAATTCATGCAGGCATGTGTCAAGTCAAGAGATCAGGGAATTTGATTTGGGTCAAAGGCAGCCAATCCAACCCTGTCAGATTGCGTAGGGCTCACATGGCTGCCCTTGTTAAGCTGGTCCTCCATGCCTCCTTTTCCTCAGAGGTGAATTTCCTCCGGCCTGGTTCCCAGCCTTGCCTGCAGTGTCTCTGGAGGGGAAACCATCTGAGCATGGCTTTCAAGGCTCCTCAAAGTCACCCAGCTGCTCACCTGTGCTTCTTCTCCCCGTAGGTTTAGGACCCTTCCCAGCACTGCCTGGCTCCATGCTCCTCGCTCCACCCAGACGGGCTGGCCCCTTCTCCATCCCATCCAAGCTTTTCCCAAAGCTCCAAGTTTTACTCAACTCTCATCATTTGTGCCCCAGAGAACACACCAGCTCCTCACATGGGCTCCTCGGCCCTTCCAACCCTCCTCCACATGGGTAGCATATTGCTTGATGATCATTGTCGTGTGCCATGCTGTGACTCTGGGGCACTTCCATGTAGATTTACCACCAACAGTGTTCAGCAAGGGCTCAACATGCAGTCACTGAAACTCAACAAGTATGCCAAGCAACACTCTGTGTCAGATTATTAAGACAGTCTGACACAGTTTCAGCTTGCTAAAGCAAGGAAATTCAGCCTATTGCAGCACTCTCCTCCCTGTGAGACAGACATTATGTAGACCTAAGCAGTGTGAAGAAAAAGAAAATAAAAAATGAAAGTCAACAAGCAATCACAATATGGCAATGCACATACCAGTTTCCCAAAACAAACCTTCCTATTCCATGTTCCTGACACACTGTGACTTTAAAAAGCTGTTGGCAAAACACAAAAAGAGAAGACAAAAGAGAAACTCAACAAATGTTGACTTCTAAATAAACAAGAATTTTCTCTGCTTGTTTATTGCTGAATCTGCATAGACTAGACATTGGACTTTCACTTATTGAGTGTCAAATCTAGTTTGTTTCTACTTTGTAGATATTGTATGTTGCTTTCCTTTTAAAGGTATTCAACAATTCTTGCTATACTGAACATTGTTGTCTTTGATGCGGTTGCTCAGATTACCAGATATGAGCATGTAAAATTTGTCAAAATAAAAATTTGAAACGTTAACTGATCCCTTCAAAAAGCTGATAGAAATGAGTAGTACAATCATCTTAGATATCCTGAGTACAATACATTCGTGATTCCCCTTCCTTTTTAAATCTTTTTTTTTCTCATTCCCTCATTCAAATTGTTGCATCTTGCTTTAAAAATTAGAGCATTGGTAAGCTTCTTAATGATCTTGTCTTTTAGGATTTATTTCAGGGGCCTCCTAGGACGTTCTGTAAAGCCCCCATGGCACTGTGATAGGAAGTTGAGTTCTTTTTAAGAAAGAGAAGGACAATCTCTTTAAAAATTTTGTTTATTTTCCTTTTTGGTGAAACATTAATAATAGCACTAATGGGAAACACTTGTTAGCAGTCATGATGCGCCAGGCACTACCCTAAGCACTCAATATAAATTCATCTTATGGCCATGACTATCCTCTGAGACGGATATAACTATTATCTTCATTTCGTAACTAAGGTATCTGAGGCCCAGCTAGGTTAAGTGAATTCAAGCCAGACAGCAGGTACAGAAAGGGCTGGCATTCTGATTTTTCAGTCTGCTTCATGCTTTACCTTCTGCCTCTGCATTGTCCGTGTTCTTCGAGCTCTCCTGCAGCCTTCCAAGCAGGCAGAGGAGAGGTGACTGTCTTCACGCCACTGCTAGAGGAAGAGAGGCTCTGAGATGCATCGTGGATTTGGTCGCAATCAGCTGGCTAGTTAATGGCAGAGCGTGTTAGGGACAGATCTGCCTGTCCATCTGGCCCCCATCCTGGACACAGCACTCTCCTCACACAGCACTCAGTCTTAGCTGGGGCACAGTTGCATGGTGCTGTGCAGGGGTTTGAATGCGGGGGATCCATTCCCACCTTGCAAATGCAACATCCATCTCCCAAGCAGAGGCCCCTGTCCCTCTAGCTGATGGTTCGGCAATTTCATTTGCAAGGCATTGCGGGCTTTGACTATTTTAAGGCATTTTCAAAGCCTCTGTATGCCCCTTAGCACACATCAGACTGGCTGGAAGGCCCTAGGGGTGAACACACCCTAAATCGCATGCAGATCTTCAAGAGTTAATGCAATTTTGAGTGAGAATTTGACATTCTGAGACATACTATGTCTGCGCGAGGCCTGACCAGGCTCTGGATTTCTTTTCAAGCCCATTTAAAGGCAGATTCTTAATTGAACTTTTAAAATACGATGCTTATACACTGTTTGACTCCTGTTTATATCTCTAAAGGCATACTTTAATTGAGCCTATTAGTTTTATTATAAGTATTACTGTTTTCATTACTACGTGTTCTAAAAATAATAGCGCAGCTTTGCAAATCTGTGCATTGGAGTTGGCTTCACTTCCATCAGGGCCCAAAGTCAAGGCTCAGATGAGGGGGGTCTTTGGAGAATGATTCTACAGAGCAGAGCCACATTCTCAGGAAGAGCAGGCCGGATGCACTCTCAGTGCTGGAGAGCAATCGGAGAGGCTCTTGTCCATGGCGACAGCACACAGCCCCCGCTCCGTGGTGCACTCAATTAAAGGGCCCGATGGAGAGGCGGTGGACCAGTTGGGCCCTTGTATACTTCGTCCTCATCCGACTCATTTTCTCTGCAGAGGCAAACTCCGGTGGTCCTTCAAGCGGAAGGGTGAGCTGGAGAGGGAGAGCTGGAGAGGGAGAGCGGGAGGGCACTGTCTGCTCTGCCCTCATCGAAAACATTTGCTCTCCCGCCTTGGTTCCGCACCTTAATGGCTTCTATTTTTCTGCTCACAGGGTGTTTTCATCATTGTTAGCTCATGCTGAAAACTAATCAGTGGCCAGGCACGCCCCCTCCTCCATCTCCCTCCACTTACAGCTCCTCATTCTTGGGACTTCAGAGAGAAAGAGCTTTGGGTGAAGCCACCCCATTATCCCTTTGTTTCTGGGATCTTTGTTGATGGCGTCCACCTTTGCACCTCTGGATCCTGACAGCCCCAATGTTTGGCAGAGACACGAAAAGAAAATAAATCAATATTGCCATGGAGACTATCATTTCTGAGCCTGACTTAATTAGGAATTATTAAAAATGACTCCATTGAATTAAGAGAATTAGAAGGGCTCCTCTGTTGAATGCAGGCTTCACTGATGCGTGCTAAGTAGCAACTAGGTTCATTACCAAAAGTTAGATTCATTAGGTTATATAATTTGCAAGTTTCTATTCTTAATTTCTCCTAGCCAATTCCAATTATTTTCTTGAAATAGCATAATTAGTGGCAGGGGGGAAAAAAGTACATTACCGCGACACAAAAATAACATTTTCCTTCCTATTTGGTCACAAAAATCTTCTGAATGTGTTTTGTGGCTCCGTGGAATGGCCCTGGCATGGCCACAGACTTGTGCCACGGAACGTAGTCTCCTATTCGCTCTCAGCCCGCTTCCCACCTGCCGTTCTGAGTTTCAGCAGCAACAGGTAGTCCAGGGAGCAATTTCGTCTTGGTCTCTAAAGAAAAGCTTGAGATTTGCACTTGCCTTTTTGTACCTAATTAAGAGGTCCCCAGAATGTCTTGGTGCCTTTTTTTTCCCTCCCTTCTTTTCCTTCAGGAGAAAGTAATTGAGGCTCCATGGAGCCTCGTGGACGTGACCTTTTGGAAACATCCACACTGCTGTTCATGGCGCGGAAGCTTTACCGAGGGGAGGCAGCTGGGTGCAAAGGAAAGAATGCGGAACCTTTTGGAAATGATTTCAAATTGGATATCCTAATAGGCAATTCCATAACTTGCTTGTCTTCTAAATGCTTCTGTGGCTTTCTATATTTCTTATTATCTTGCGTGAATAAGCATGTAGCTCAGGTAAAAACTATTTATTCCAAAGCAGAGAAAATCTGACAATTAGCCAGTTGATTTCAGCTAAATAAACAGCTGAGCTGGAATGTTCCAGTTGACAAAAGAAGGAAAGAGAGAGGGAGGCAGGGAGAGAGGGAAAAGAAAGGGGAAAAGGCAGAAAAGAAATGTCCTACGGACTTCACTGTCAGTCTGGTGGAGTCAAGGATAAACGAAGTCTTCCTTGTGACTTTCCCTTCCTTTGGAGCCAGACTCTGCACAGTGGCATCTCTGATCTATCTCTATAGTTTTGCCCATGTTGGACATTATGGGCTTTAGGCCATTGTAGTCAAGGGTGTACTTGATGCTTGGGTGGCATTATTTATTGGAGAATTCATCACGCTTAAAATCTGACACTGCTAACTAGTTTCAGTTCTGCTTTTGCAAATGGTTTAGTGGTGAGCATTTTCCCTGGGGTGGAGGCGCTACAAAGACTAAACCCAGAATCCTGAGCCCGGGGGGCTTCCCCAGTGTTGCCTAGATGTGTGGACTCCTTGATTCCAACAGGGGATAAGAATCAGCGCATGGCCCACTCTAAAAAGTCAGACGTGAATAGTAAGAAGCACCAAGCATGTCTTTCCTCCAAATCCAAAGGAACATTGAGCACCTGGCTCCTAGGAGTCAGATCATTTTGATACCAAGCTTTTAAAATTTCAGAATCTGCTAAGAACAGACTGCCTCTGAAGAAAGAGAATTGTCAGTCAGTATCATCCCCTGCACCTAAATGACCAAAGGACTCCCTCTTGCTGGAGCGTGCCCTGGGTCTGTCGCCCACAGCCGTGCCATCTGCCAAGGCCTCTGCTCAGCGAGTTACTCTGATGGCCACATGCTACCTGTGCCAGCTAAGTTGCGAAGTTCATCATTTATTGTACATTTAAAATTATTGCAGCCTTGAAACTCTCCTCCTACAATAAGCAAAGAACACTCATCACACCAAGTTTCCATGCAGTACATGAGCTACAGAGACCTGTGGTTGGATTTCACTATTTTTGGTCCACTGAGTGGATGTCTCCAAATGTTTTTAACTGCTTTTTCTTTTTTGCATAAAAATGATATGGTCAGTGGACAGAGCATGGGGTGTCGGGAGGGGGCTGCAGCTCTGCGCAGTGACAGAGTGCCCAGCGCTCTGGTCCTCTGCAGGCCAGCTACCCTGCTCTTCACAGCTGCCTCCCTCCCTCAGGAGACCCCGGGAAGCCGACGGGCCAAGGCACCCAGGTGACAGAGGCTTTCAGGCACGCATGGCTCTGGGCGCTTGTCTCTGTGCTCGGTTTCTTCATTTCCCACCTTGTGGTGAATCACGGAGACTTCATTCTGCGTAAACACACGTGAGTCAAGGAACAAGGAAGAAATGGGTCCGAAGGAGAAAGCTGGAGGAACGCCGCCTCAGGAGGAGAAAGGGCAGCGTTGCTTCACCATCTTCTTATATTGGGGTTAGCTGCTCACCCCTTCTCTCCCGCTGCTTGAGAAACAAAATGCTCCACCTGGGAACCCTTATCTCTAAGAATTTTTTTTAACCTTCATTACATCTTACCAGGAGGTCAATCAGAGCCCACAGGAATTCTGAGCTCTGGAATCACCAGCTGACCTACACTCTTAAAATTCTTAGCCTTCTTGTTTCCAGAAAAAGACACAAGCGCTCTCTTGGAGTTGGTGCTCAGTCCAGGTAGAGGGGTGAGTGCTCACACACTCTGCTTCACACAAAGTACTTGCCTGTGGGAATCTAGACCAGCCCGATCCCCACGTGGGTTCTTCTCCCT